TGGCCACAGGTTCAGTGAAAAATTTTTTCGAACGCCTCTACGAAACAGATTCTTCAGAGAGGGGCCGCAATGTACGGCAAGCTTTTATGCGTGCATTACGTCGCCTTTTCTCATGTACAACTCCTTCGAGGCCCCATAAGGCATCATCACCAAGAAGGACGCGTTCCTGGTCACCACAGTATGATGGACGTGAAAATTTTCTGTCGAAAGAGGAGAAACAACTTCGCTGGGCTTTTCGCAAAAACCAACCTCTGGACTTTGGACGTAAGACGAACGAAGCTGAGATAAGTCAGCCAGCTGGTAAGCTTACTATTGATTGCTCGTGCACCCAACTTTAATAATTATTGGCCAACGCACAGGCTACCCGTGCGAAGATACTTTTTTTGCATAGTTCCCCGCAGATTTTTGTCGCTAACGACACTGATTTTTTCGGCAGATGCTTCTAGCTAAAAGAATTTCATACTAGCCGCTAGGACTATCAGGAAACATTCCTTCAAAACTCCAGTCTTCTAGATTCTCAGGTTCCCGAGTTAGTGACTTACCCGAAAAAAATTTTACGGGCGCGTCATGGGTACCACGCTTACCCGAGGGGTAAGTTTGAGTTCATTAATACCTACGTGGCTGGGGAAAATTCCCTTAAAATTACAGTTTTCTAACTTTTCAGGTTCCCAAGTTAACGACTTGCCCAAAAGACTTCGCTGGTTCACACGTAAATACCAAGCCTACCCTGGGGCAGGTTTTGAGCTCATTAATACCCACTTGGACAGGGAACGTCCCCTAAAATTCGGCTTTCTAGCTTTTCTGGTTCGCGAGTTAGCAACTTACCCGTAAAAAACTTTGGCGGGCTCATACGTGGGTACCACGCGGGTAAGGGTGCCCATTTTGGGGATTGGGGCTCATACGTGCATGTAGATTAAGTTCCTAAAGTTTCAGCCCTGTAGCTGTTATAAGTGTTGAGATAAAAAATCGGTACAGACGCACATACAGACACAAGGACACCCAGACAACTCCTCGTCAGTATGCGTTTTCTGCATTGCATAGCTGCAAAAAACGCATAAAAAACAGGACATATCATAGATTTGTTACAATTAGTCCTCTTTCCTTTGTCGAAAATAAAATGCACTTGACTTACTGAATGTATTTTTCTTTTTTTTCTTTTAATGCGTTTTGCGCTGTATAACAGCACAAAATGCATATTGATATGTTC